AATTAAAACGCAATACAATACCACTCCCAAAGTTATTCGGTCAGACAACGACGGAGAGTATACGAGTCATGCCTTTCGAACTTACCTTCAAGATTCGGGTATCATACAACAGCTCACATGTCCCCATACCCCGGAACAAAATGGCTTGGCCGAACGACGACACCGCCATCTCCTCGACTTGACCCGCGCTCTCCTCATTGATTCTGGTCTTCCGTCCAAATTCTGGTCCTCCGCGCTCTCCACAGCTCACTATCTAATCAACCTATTGCCTTCCCAATCCATCTCCAATCAAATCCCTTTTCAACTTCTCACCGGCACCACACCGTCTTATACCCATCTTCGCTCGTTTGGTTGCTTGTGCTACTCGTGGCTACGGCCTTACTCCCAAGACAAACTAGCCCCTTGATCTAACCCTTGCATCTTTATTGACTACTCTCCTCAACACAAAGGTTATCTTTGTCACAACATTACCACTAACCGCACTTACATCTCTCGACACGTCATATTCTACGAGACCATATACCCACTCAAATCTTCGGCTATCTCTGCTCAAGCTGATCGCCCAAAATCACCCACTACCACACCTCCGCTCCTCCTAACACCGTCCTCCATCCACTCTTGCAATTTACCCACTGCCACTATACCAACTACTCATATTAACACAGCTAACGCCTCTCATATACCCTCAACCCCCTCTGTTGATATGCCTACGCCAAACACCACCTCTCCTAGCCCACAACTTCAACCCATACCCAACTCAACCACCGGTCACCCTATGCAAACTCGGTTGAAATCTGTAATTCACAAACCAAAGCAAATTCTAAATCTCCTGGCACACACTACCACACATGACACTCCTTCCACCTACACCCAAGCACTCAAACTACCTCATTGGCGGACAGCAATGCAACAGGAAGTCGACGCACTCAACCAGCAATCCACGTGGATTCTCGTTCCTCCACCAGCGGACAAGCCCATATTAGGATGCAAATGGACTTATAAGGTCAAACTTCTACCCAATGGACAAGTGGATCGATATAAAACTCGTTTGGTCGCTCTCGGCTACGATCAAAAATTCGGCATCAACTACAACGAGACCTTTAGCCCGGTCGCTAAGATGCCCACTATTCGCCTTTTACTAGCGCTCTCACTCCACCGAAATTGGCCGGTTTATCAGTTGGACGTATCCAACGCTTTTCTTCATGGCGATCTTCTCGAGGATATCTACATGAGACAACCGCCAGGCTTCCTCAATCCAACTCATCCCCATGCGGTTTGCAAGCTCCATAAATCTCTTTATGGATTCAAACAAGCCCCGCGGCAATGGTTCAACAAACTCACCAATTGTCTCTAACAACAAGGATTCCGGTTTAGTCGCTCTGATCCCTCTCTTCTCCTTTATTCTCATAACAACATTCACATATACATCCTAATCTATGTCGACGATTTTTTGGTGACAGGAAGTGACGAAGCAGCCATTCGATCTCTTCTCAATCAATTACAAACGCACTTCGCACTCAAGCATCTCGGCCAAATCTCACTGTTTCTCGGCATCCAGGTAACTCGCTCCACACAAGGCTATTTTCTATCACAAGAGCACTATGCTGCTAAAATTCTTAATGATGCAGGATATAAAGACTACAAACTGCTAAACACAACAAACCAGATCTGCTACCCTATCCCGATCCCACTCTATACCGCAGATTGGCCGGATCTCTTCAATACCTCACCATTACCAGGCCGGACATCGCCTTCGCCGCGAATCAAGTCTGTCAACACATGCAAGCACCGACGATTCAAGACTTCAAGGCTCTAAAGCGTCTTCTTCGCTACATCAAAGGCACTCTATCCTACGGTCTACCGATCACAGCTGGCTTGCTAGCTCTACGAACCTACTCTGATGCCGATTGGGCGTCTGATGCATCCGACCGAAAATCCATTTCAGGATTTTGTACCTTTCTTGGACCGAACCTCATATCTTGGACCGTTAAAAAGCAGGTCACAGTGGCTAAATCGCCAACTGAAGCGGAGTACCGGTCTCTTTCCGCTGCCGTCTCCGATGTGATATGGCTTCGTCATCTTGCCAATGAACTACATCTTCCGCAGCCATCGCCAACGATTATTCATTGCGACAACACATCGGCAATGGAAATTGCGAAGAACCCGGTGTTCCACGCGCGTACAAAACACATTGAGATCAACTACCATTTTATTCGTCAACAGCTTCACTCCGGCAACATCACCCTCGAGCATATTCTATCTCAAGATCAATTCGCCGACATCTTCACCAAACCTTTCTCGATCTCTCGGTTCAATGATCTTCGACACAAATTAACCATTCGTACAAACGAATGCTAAATTTGAGGGAGGATAATAACAGAATACGAGTTGTATTATTAGCCGTTACTCTTTGTATTTACAGCTTTACCTTTTCCTTAGGCTATATATATTCATGTACAGTAATCTATTGTGATATAATACATTTCTTTGTTCTGTTTAGTCTCTCTGTCTTCACCGATCTTCTTCTTCTCCCTCTAGTTTATTCTCAACAACTGTACAAGACTTCATACTAAGTATGTGTTTCCTTATGCTTATGTGTTAACAATATAAACGACATGCATTTAGGCTTCGTTTGGAACATCTTTAGGTTAAGCAGCTTTAAGCCATCCCAAACGAAGCCTCAGTTTCCTGATTTTCTTATTATCTATTCAAGTATATTAAAAGAATAAAAATATTCGTTCAAACAGAGCCGATATTATGATTGTGATTTCATATATTTAATAGCTTGATCAGTGTACACATATTAATCGAGAGAGGTCTGTAAATACTTTAAGAGCAAATTTTCGAACTAAGCAACATTAATAATTAAACTATAAGATTAAGCATGATCGTTAAAAAATTTAATTATAGGAAAAGTCGGTCGTTTAAAAGGCGACTTAGGTGCGACCAAACGACAGCGTGGCAGTTGATGTGGCGAATTCAGACTTAAGTATAAGTCGCCCAGTAAAGGGGCGACTTAGACTTAAGTAATTTATTCACCTTTCCCTTTCCCGATCAGACATTCTCCCTCTTCGCCATTTCGAGATCTGCTTGCTGCTCCGCCCGTTCATCGCCGGATCATGTAATGTGAAGTTATTTTATGCATTTTTTGTGAGACCTCGTTCCTTTGCTGTAGCTGCTGGGAA